ACTGATGGTTCCACTAGTACTTAGTCACCAAAGAGTCAATCACTAATCCTACCTCACTCAGCTATTTATGGTTTTCCTTGATTTTTTTATTATTATTATTTTTTTTTGCTTTATTTTATTTCACATTGCTATTAGTGTAAATAATATTATAGTAAATATGATGTCAATAATAATAACAATAATAACACCAACTATACTAAAAGCACTTGTGGAGCCATATATGCTTAAACATAATAACAATATTTTAAACAATCAAACATTTATAAATATAAATGGTCAAAGACAAGGATAGAAGAATTGAATAGATTTGCCTACCAGGACAGGCACGTCAAAAAAGATTTGGGGTTAAGCAGCCTGTTCTCCAGTTTAGGGGTCAATCTTTGTTCTCTTATGCATTAACCCTTTATCACTATAAAACAACTTGTATCATTATCATCATCCATCCCACTTTGTGTAAATAATCATGTTTTTTGCTACAATAATTGCAGTGTTTGTTCTACTATCCACAAATTCAAATATATCTTAAATAATTTCAAAGGTTTTGAATACAATATTTACCTTTACTATATAGTGTAAAAACCAGAAAAGCAAGGAAATTGGTGTAACTGAACGAATTTACATAATACCAGTGATCCCACTGAAAATATATGTGATAATACAAATCAAAATACTATTAGGAAACAGAAGAACCAACCTGGAAGAGAGCGTTCTGATTATCAACTTTTATACACTGCACCCATGTATACCTACTTCCTATTTAGGGCTGGGGAATCTGTGAATTGAAAATTCTCTGCAGCCAGCCACTCATCCTGTGGTGGAGATTCTTTTGCAGCCTTTGTGGATGGCCGTAGTCTGCCAACAACAAGCGATTTCTTGCGAGGGGAAACGGTCATTATGCTGAAAAGAATCAACAAATCAGGTACAAACATATAAGGACTCTCAAGAAAACACATACAGCTGATTTCACATATTGAGCCCATCACTTAATGATCTAGAAAAATGATAGACATCTATCATAAACAAAAACAACAACAACAAAAATGAATAAAATAAAATAAATAAATAAATAATAATTTTAAAATACATACATTCTAATATACTAGAAAAGAATGAAAGAAAATTTTCTATACCAACCTATCTTTTAAAAATGTTACAACTTTATGGAAACATGGGTCTACGCAGAGCTACGATGGAAACCGGCAAATAAAGGGTATTTGTTTGCTATTAGCCTAAGCATGGTAATTTCATATGAATTTTGAATTCAGAATTCCCCTTTGATGGCAAACTCATTTTTTCTACAGCTTCAGAAAACTACAAAGAACAGAATTATTCTTATGCACTTTCATCTGGGTGGGTGAGTGCAGCTCCCTATGAGCAATACTGAGCCTATGATTATTTTTCTTTTCTTGATGGGGATATGATATGGTAAAAGGAATAGGCAGTTAAAATTACAAGAGGGTTAAGATGGACTTGTAACATAATTTAATCTTATTGTATAGTAACAGAACAATTGCAAAAGCATTACATGAATGTCAAGGACTCAAGCAATCCTGAAGGTAGCAGTGTAATTGTCCATATACCACAAAAATGAAATGGGGCATCTGACAGGTGTATTACTAAGAACAAAAGCAGAATCAACTTTTGCACTCCTACCCATTTCATGCATCATAGACTATTTTAGTGATCTTGACATTTGTATTCAAAATCAAGGGATAAATACATTAGTAGCTAATTTACTTTGAGCAGGATCATGTTTCATAATTCTGTTACAATTTCTCAAGTTGTATATAGCCCATTAACAGGGGATCCGAATCTTTATTACATATTTCAAAATACTGAAATTTGTTACCAAGACAATACAGTGATTCTGGCTGCTAGATCTTCCTTTTCAGTATATTGACTGAAAACCAGGAATATAAAAAATATATATATATATTTTCTTGACAAATTCCCTAACCCTTTCTAATTACCATTTACAGTGGTTGTAGTCGGTCAATCTCAAGACTTCTAATTGTCAGGTAAATTCAGGACTACCAACATAGGCAAGGTATATGTTCCGTTATGATTAAATTTACCATGATATTATATACACCTCATTTTCAGACATGGGATAATGTTACGGTGAGGTGTACAGAGACAAAGGGAAATGAACACCATCTTATAGAGCATGAGAAACAGATTCATAAACAACACAGGTAAAGCTATATATATATATATATTATATATATATATATATATATATATTTATATATAATATATATATATATATATATATATATTATTAATATATGTATATATATGTATGTATGTATGTATGTATGTATGTATATATATATATATATATTATATTATATATATATATATATTATGTATATGTATATATTATATATTATATATATAGTATATATATTATATAATGTATATATCTATATATCTATATATGCTATATCTACAATATATACTATATATATATATATTATGTATATAATGTATATATCTA